TCAGTGCTCCTTTCAACACAAGCCAGCTAACATTAATCAAAAAATCCAGTGACTGTTAGAAAATCCTCCAATTTAAGAGTTTCAATAAGCAATTATGATACACAAATTAAATTGGGATGTTGTTAAGTAGATGTCCTGGAACCAGATACTTTGTTTTCTAAGTTACTAACAACAGATGTAAATGATTACAATTCAGGGAAATGATAAGTAACCATTACTATGACTTTTGGAGCAAGAAAACCTGAACTCCCACAGTGCATCAAAGGAATGAAATGTGTCTTTGAAATTTAAACACAAGGGAGTAGTTTCATCAAAATTAAAATCAAGCCTATGTGTTGCTTTTCCTGGAATAAGGTCAGAGGATAAGAGACTTTTTTTTAAGATACGATGTTCCAAATGGCTACAAACCAAACACATATCTTACAATAAGAACACTTTAAAATATTTAACTGCTCAGCATTTAAAAAAAAACCATGGTTTTGAATTTCTGAATAAAGAATTAATATGTCTGCTAGAATTGACAGTTTTTTATGGAAATGTAATCTCTTCCATTTTTTACATCAGTTCTCAAACATCAGACTTTATTTTCCTCCTACATTACAAAGAACCTTAAGTAATTTTAGAACCTTACTGCACCTTTTAAAAAAGCAATAACCTTTTCAGCACACGTTACTGTAGAGCTAAGTACATTACCAGGAAAGAAAAAATACTGCAAACACATAGTCATGGAAGTGCAATTCACAATGTATAGATGGAGAATGGAAGCACAGAGAAAGAAATGACAGTATGCATTAGATCCTGCAGGAGTCAACCACAGAACCACAGCTTCAGCCTGAATTTAAGAACAGTGTCTGAAAGACTTCTTCAGAAAAGCAAAATTTACCTGTCATCTGAAACAAGGACTAAACTGGAAGGGTTTCACACAGAATTTGGAGCAATCAGCTAATGCCAGGGACCACTCAGTCTTGTGACCTCTGCTCCACCAATTACCCAACCCGAATGAGTGCTCCCCTTGTTCGTAGAGAAGGGCTCTAGAAAGGTGACACATGGTGGGCAACCCCCATACTGCATGGGTCCCACACTCACACCTTTCTCCCACGGTTGACATGAGTGGCAAAAACGCCAAACACACTGTGGGATGAAGGTTCAGTACATTAGCAGAGGGACACATGCTGCTCCAAGTGTTTTTATCTGCCTTTAGTTCTTTCTGAAGGCTCATGGTAACCAACAGGCAGACTGCATTTGTTCATTACGTGCTTCAGTGATGCTTGAATGAATTTTGAGAGTTACTGCAATTTGGAGGGTGGGGGTAGAAGGGGAAGATCCTTTTTGGAAATGCTCAGGTTCTGAATTCATGCTTATGAAAATGTCATCCTATCAAATATAGAAACCATGAACGAAAACAATGAAAATTTCAGGTTTTGGAAGGAAGACAGGCCTAACTGTTCTTCTGTTTTTAATTACAAACACTACTAGTTTGCTCTCTCAGCTACGGTTATTACCAATGAACCCAACTACTCTGAACCCTGATTCATTACCATGTGCTTCCCACCTTAAACATGAACACCAGACATCTGACCCCCCCACCACTTAGCTCTTTAATATAAGAAGTACCTTTAACTAGACGAAGCCACATGCAGTCATTCACTCGCATCTTCCACATCAACTCCTTCAGTGAAAGCTTTGCAAACTTCCCCATGGAAATGAATATTTTCACATTTTTTAAGAACTGGCACTTGTTATGGTTTGAACCCCAAAGCTCAGCGGGGATGACTTGCTCCAGGCACTCCCTCACAAACATGTACACCTCCCAGTAGGTGTTGCGCTGACTGATAAGGTTCCTGAGGTCCGACTCACACACGTCTCCTGGGTTTTGCTCCTCACTCTGTGACTTCCCATGCACAGAGTTTGAAAGAGAAGTGTGTAAATTGTCTGGCACATTAGTGTGACCAGATTCACATCTGCTGCTTGTCACACCCTTAGCAGGCTCTTTCACAAACTGTTTTGCTTGTTTGTGAGCCTCTGCTTCTCCAGGTAAACCTACCCCACAAGGCAGCTCAGATTTTCTCACACTGGCTTCAGATATCTTAACAGGGCAATGTTTTTTCAAGATAGCTAAGTAAGGGCACTTTCCATGGTTCTCTAGCAGCTTCCCAAATATATGTCTCATTTGCCAATAGCGCTTGGGCAACCTCTTCTTTCTCCAGTTGTGATGTAGCAGGTTTCGGTTGTGTTTTTTCTGCAACAGATTTGAGTTTAAGAATATAGTTTCTATAAGCCGTCTTCCACCTGCCTGACAGCCCTGCAACTGATTCAGTAAAAATGATTTAGGGAAACATTCCCGTAAACTCCTGCAGCAATAAAGCATCAGCTTCCTGCTAATGTACACTGCAGAATGCAAGAACTTGTTTGGTAACTGCTTCACCAAATGACCTACAGGACTTTTTTGCCTTCTGCATTTTGAAGAAATACCATCCACAGGTTTAGTTTGCACAGAATCTGACTGAGATTCATGCATACACATTTCTACTGCTTTTGTATGGGATTCTGCTTGCATTTCAGTGCTGGACTTTAAAAGTTCATTACTCTGAACTCCTTGTGAACAAGAGCTTGCACGTGGCACAAGAACCTTCCTGGCATGAGATGTGTGAACCAAAGAAGGACCAGACATATCACTGTTACTTCTTTGAGAAATGTGCCTTTTTTTGAGACTTGCAGAATGCGATGCCACACACCCAGTTCTACATCTCTCGGAACTAGTTTGGTTTACAGCAGGAGTGAGATTACAAGCCTTTTCCTCTACTCTTGCTCTCTTAGCTGGAATTTCACATTGTGTCCTATTAAGCTTCCTTTTTAAAGAGGGTACCGTAGCTGACAAACACAAATTGGAGCTACTCTGTGCTTCCAGATGCTCAGTAGCCATTCTAATCTGTCTGCTTGCTTCAGAAACAGCTTCTGCAGAACACTGGTAACTGGGCATTGAGCTTCTTATATTGTTATTTTTTTTACTTCCCATGCTGGAGACATTAGTGTCAAGTCTTTGTCTGCTTTTCCACCAATGTGACTTTGAAAGATATTGTCTATGAAACATGAGCCTTTTTTGCACATAGTCAAGCAACCTACTATGTTTATGCTTTGAAAACCTTTGTCTAACAAATGCAGACAGTGAATGTACATTACGTGGAATAAGTTCATAAATGGGTTGCCCACAAACTTGGTAACAATTACTAGGGGGAACCAGCATAAAGATTGCGCAATGTTCCATTAAATACATCATCACATCGTCCCCTATCCTGCTCAGCAGTGTCTCCCAGACGCCATTGGTACAAGTAGTTTCCGTTCCAGTATTGGATAGGTATCTGTATATACGTGAACACGGCATGACTGGGACATGAGAACTGTTTTCATCCAGTAAGGCATATCCATATGCGAAGACATTCTTCTTTCTTTTTTCACACAGTCGCTGAACAACTCTTGCAGTAACTTCTTTCTGACTAGACAACTTGAGGAAAGAAAACTAGCTTTTATCACTGACACTTCCATAAATCACAACACACAGTTTAAATAAACAGACATGCGAGATACAAAGTCCTAGACACCAAGTTTTGAAGTGATATTAGTGATCCACACGGGCAATACCAAAGAAGGGTTTTCAAGTGTACTACAAGATGTTTACGTGCAGCAACGTGGGCCTATAACTTTAAGGAAGTCTTTTTAACGTCTGCCCTTTTGATCGTGGATTTCAGGCCCAGGAAACCCCACACTACGCCCCTCTGCTCCCCGCAGCAAACCGGCCCCTAAGACCTCCATGTCATTCTTCCCTATAGGTGCTCACGCAGGCTCTAACCTCCAGGGAACTAGCACTGATTTTCTTGAGGCCTCCATTTCCTTTCACGTACAGAAAAGCTCAATTAAATGACTTCGTTCACAATTCTAAGACAAGCTTACTTACTACCATAGCGCAGTTCTGCTCATGCACACTAAAACTCCGAGAAAAGCGGCCTTCCCTCTCCGGCAAGTTTCTTCTGCTTCATCACCGGACCACAAGCGGTTTCTCCCCTCATATCTCCCCTCTCGAGAGTGGGAAAGTGGCACTTGTAATTCATAGCTGCTCCCCGGCCGCACTCGGTTTGCTCACCCCTACCGCAGAGGGCACGCAAGGAGTCGGGGGCTCAGCGGCATGCAGCCCTTCCGCGCTACCTAACCACCCACCCTCCAGGAGAGAAGAGGGAATGCTCCCACACCGCTCTCCGCTGCGTGGAGCGGGCTGGCGGGGCCCGGCAGCAGCCATGAGGGGCACGCATGAAGCACAGGAAGCGTGGTGCCACCATCTAGCGCAGGCAGCGGCGCCCTTCCGCAGCCCCCCAAGGGCAGGCAGCGGCTCTGGCACTCACTCCAGCCACAGCACGGGGGTCTTCGCTCAGACCCCAGCAGGGCTCACTCCTCGGCGGGGGCTGCGCAAATACGGCCACCCCGGGCCCCACGCAGGCCACCGGCACTCTTGGCCTGCCTCTTACCTGCTCGAAGGTGAAGGGCCGGGGAATAGCGCGGGCCCCCCGGGGGACGCACACCAGGCACGCCCCTACGAAGGTCCGGTAGCAGCCTATGTCGTTGTCCCGCAACACCTCAGCCTCCCCGGAGCTGCTGTCCTGCAGCTGCCTAATGAAGGTCTCCAGCGGGGCGACCTCGGCGTAGCAGCCGCGCAGCGCGGTCAGCACCGCCGCGTAGGACTCCATGCCCGCCATGTTGTAAGAGGCAGTGCACGCCGACACCTGGGGCCGCCCCGCGCCTCACTCCCCTCCCTCCCGTACCGCTGCGCTCCCCCGCCGTCGCTGCCGGCTGGTGACAGAGAGCTGCTGACTAAAACAACGAAAACAGAGTCACTTTTAAATATGAGGAAAACGCCCTCGCAAAATCATCCCGCGTCTGCTCCGTCTGAGCACCACCGACCCACAACGTGGCCGGGGAGGGGCGGTGGCCAAGGTGAGGTGTGGCGGGACGGGACGGGGCGGGGCAGGGAGGGAGGCCGCTGTCCAGCTCCGGCGCTCCTTCATTACTTCTTGCGGCGGTATTCTCTTGAGGCCGCGGGCTCGGCCTGAGGCGGGTGGGAAGGAGCGGCTGTGGGACAGGGAGCTAGCACCGGCTAACGAAGATGTGTGGTATGTCTTCCGACCGGAATAAAGGGTGAGCGGGAACTGGATTGAGGGCAGAATGAGGAGAAGGACTTGGGGGTGCTGGCTGGTGAGAAGCTCAACATGAGCCGGCTTCAGTGTGCACTTGCAGCCCAGAAAGCCAACTGTATCCTGGGCTGCATCAAAAGGAGTGTGACCAGCAGGTCGAAGGAGGTGATCCTGACCTTCTGCTCTCGTGAGACCTCAGTTGGAGTATTGTGTGAAGTTCTGGTGTCCTCAACACAAGAAGGATGTGGAGCTTTTGGAGTGAGTCCAGAGGAGGCCATTAAGATGATCAGGGGACTGGAGCACCTCTCCTATGGAGACAAGCTGAGACAGTTGGGCTTGTTCAAACTGGAGAAGGTACCAGGGAGATATATCAGCCTTCCAGTAACTAAATGGGGCCTACAAGAAATCTTTGTATGTGAGGGGCACTTTTTACAAGGGCGTGTAGTGACAGAACAAGGGGGAATGGCTTTAAACTGAAAGAGTAGATTTATGTTAGATATGAGGAAGAAATTCGTCATCATGAGTGTCATGAGACACTGGCACAGGTTGCCTGGAGAAGCTGTGGCTGCCCCTTCCCTGGCAGTGCTCAAGGCCAGGTTGGATAAGGCTTTGAGCAGCCTTGTCTAGTGGAAGGTGTCCCTGCCCATGGCAGGGAATTGGAACTGGATGAAATTTAAGGTCCCTTCCAAACCAGCCTGTGATTTAGGTTTTTATTTTTAGACAGCTTTGTAGCATCTTTTCAGTGTATAATTCTTGCTGTGTATTTTCAGAACGCTCAGGGTAGTGTGAGCTACAGTCAAGAAAAATGTTGAAGGAAGTTATAAAGTGAGCATTACTACTTTATTGAGGTAGATTTCCTCTGGAAGTAATCAAGAAGATTCCTTTCCAAGGAACCCCTTTAGGACCAGCACCCCATGGAAGATCTGTCTGAAGTTAGAGCAACAGTAATGCCTCTGTTGGTGCTAAGCAGTGCTTACACAGCCTCTAGGCCTTTTTGGCTGCTCAGACTGCCCCACTGGCGAGTAGGCTGGTGGTGCACAAGGAATTAGGAGGGGAGACAACCAGGACAGCTGATCCCAACTGACCCAAGGGATATCCCAGACCATATGGTGTCACACTCAGCAATAAAACTGAAGGGGAATATTATGGGGGGAAATTTAAAGGGGGTGGCACTACTTGGGGACTGGTGTGCAATTAGGGTTGGTGGCGAGCAATTGTTTTCATTTGCATCACTTGCCTTTCTTGGGTTTTATTTGCCTATCTGTTGTTTGGGGTGTTCTCACTTTTTTTTTTAATTGTTTTATTTTTTATTATTATTTATTTTTAATTGTTAAGGTGCCTTTATCTCAACTCATAAGTTCCTTTCTCACACTTTTACCCTTCCAATTCTCCTCCCTTCCCACAGAGGAGGGGAAGTGAATGAGCAGCTGTGTGGCGCTTAGCTACTGGCTGAAGTTAGGCCATGCCACCATGGGTTCAGTCCATGCTCAATTCCTATGTGCTGACATGTTGCTGTTCATACAGATGAGACTCCTATGTTTTGAGAGCTCCACACAAACTCATTCTCTCTGGCACAGATCTCTTTGTAGCCAAGGTGTAGTCTGCCCCATTGCTGTTGGACTTTGACTCCTACTTTAGTGCTGAAGATGCCCTCAACCAAATTCACATCTAATTTCACTCTGCATAAATGTGACATCCGTGACCTTGTTACATGGGAAACAAAGCACAAACTGTGTGCGCAGTTGGCGCCCTGAAATTTTTATTTATTTAGTACTTTATATATTGCTGGGTTATTTTTTTTTCACTATGTGATTGCAGAGTCTGCAGTAGCAAAAAGTTCATGGAAAAAAACAATGCTCTTCTGGTACCGAACAGGTGGGGAACCTGCTGGCAGTGAAGAGGTGATGTTGATCAGACAGAATATCCTTATCTGGGGATAATGCTGGAGCATTCCCCAAGTTTATGAAATCAGTCAGCTTGAAAAAAACACCAGTTCCTGGTTCAGTATGCAATTTTGCTTTCTCCTATGGATCTTTGTAACAACTCAGAGAGGGTGAGGCTCAGTGATTCTTTCTTGAGCAAGTTGAAGGGTTTGTTGGTTTCATCAGATAAACACTGCTTATTCCTTTCTGTTCTGGCTTTACTTCTCAGCTCCTACAGCTAGATTTATTCAGAGGGTTTTACACAGGTTTATCAGAAAAGCCCAGTTAGTCTGTTGGTCCCTTCCCAGCATCTTTCAGTATCATGATACAGCTGTAAGCTGTATGCTAACGACTAGCATTACAAATAGATTATCCTGTTTCACTTGAAACACATCTTGAGGCCATTTTCCTCTTGTCCTGTTGCCAATTGAGAGAAAAGACCAAAACACACCTTGCTACAACCTCCTTTCAGCTAGTTGTAGAGTGGTAAGTCTCCCTGAGCCTCCTTTTCTCCAAGTGAAACAATCCCACTTCCCCCATCTGCTCCTCGTAAGACTTGCGCTCCAGACCCTTCACCAGATTTGTTGCCCTTCTGGAGACACCTCAGTATCTTTTGCTGTTGCTACATGCTAGTAAGTACTGTGCAAGAGTATCTTCCAGAAGCAGATGAACATTTTCCAAGTTAACTCTAAAACAGCCCAACCCCAGGTCACTGTAATCTTAACTTCCAAAGACACCCCAAGCCTAATGAAGATGAGAGTATTTGGTGGCCACCTAGCTGCTTACCAAAGTTAATCCTATTACAAGTGAGGAACTTTTATATAGATCACAGATACTGATAATCCAGCATGAGCTGCAATACATTCAATTAACTTTTGTATATAAGTTTTTCTTTTACATTAACCACACACAGAACCACATTTTTAAGCTGATGTCATTTCTGTAACTAGAAAACTAAAACATTTCATTTAGTATCACCAAAGGCTCTCTACTTACATAGTTTTTCACAACCTTCCTTTTCAATAACAAAAGGTAACTCTCTATCCCAAATGCCAAGTCTTTTATTTGGAAATGGAACGCAGAAAACAATCACTTGAAGTGGAAAGTCTTGCTTATTTTAAAGAACTTAGAATGTTCTAATTTTGTATTCCTTATGAGTACTGTTAGGGTATTCTGAGGTCATTGTCATCACAAATGCAAGACAGAAGAGCTCTAAACTCATAGTACGTGAAGGTGCTAGAGTGATTTTTTTTTTCAACAGCTACATACAAAAATTGGAAGCATCAAAAATGCCTGAATATGTATTCTGCACTTTCAGACACTGCCTCAGAAGAACCAGTGACTTGATTGTTTTGAGAAGAAAAAGGGAATGTGCTACGTGAATTAATATCAGGAAAAATTTTCACACACAACTATTATTATGAAATGGGAGTCCCAAATTAGTTTGCCTAACACCCAAGAGCGAGCTGCTTCCAACCAAACCGGGTGCAAGATACAGCAAACGCAACCCCAGTTTTGCGCACACTTAGGTATGTATGTTTAATGCTAAAATCAACAGTCCTCATTAGTAACAATCGACGGTGTAAAGAGACCTTAACACAAACATGAGTTAAATATCCACTTCAAGACTCCTTTCCATTGCCAGTAGCATGTAAGGAGGATTTCAGTATGAGAAAGAGTGCAGTTTGTGACAAAAGAAGTTGGGCACATGTCTGTATCTTTTGGGAACCCAAGTATTTATACGTTCAGACTTCTTCAGTATCAGAACTGGATATAACAGACTTCATAAAGTAGTTGCAGACTATAAGAGCATATCTGTGCTTTGCAAGGTTATTCAATATTTTCAATCAGTGACAAATTGGAGTTACAAAGCCTTGCACAAACAGCATGCAATTCAATACAGAAACTTAATCATTTGGGTTAATTTATAAACTTACAGACCAAAGCAAAACTGGAATTGGAAACCAGAATTCTGCCTTTCAGAATTTTTTAATTGTATTTTATTTGCTATTGAAAGGAATGCACTCTGTTTCACTAAAACCCTGGCCTTTAACAATCTAGAACCATGGTTTCTAGATACAGCTGTGTAGTTTGAATTTTCCTGTAATAATTCAACTTGATTCTTTCTACTAATTGGAAAGAAACAAATCAAAGTACTTCCCTAAATGAACTGTGCCATGGATTTTAAATTGTGTGAAGATACTTATTGTTCACCAGGCTGTTTTTTTCTTCTGTATCCAGGTAGGTTGTTATTCCACTTGAATGATGTGTGTTTCATCTTGTAAGTAGAACTGGGAAGGGAAAGAACCTTTGAAACATGAGAGAATTGGGCTATTACATCACAGGCTCACCACGTGATGAAGAATTTGAGACGTATTAAGAGACTTTCCTAGAACATAACAATGATTTACATTATATGAATACCTGCTATGCCAAGAAACCAGAAAGTCTGTCAACAATGCAGAAGGATTTATATAAACTCAGATACATATTGAAAGAAATAATTTTACAGGTTGGGCTAGGTTTTTCTTTTCCACATCTTCATTCAATTTAAGACAACCAAACCCTTCTGCCATATTGCAGGCTAAGAACATGGCAAAATTAGAATTTTAACAACCCTGTCTGTCTCATCCTGTATTTCCAATGTTTGGTTTTTTTAGCTATGAAGGTAAATGCCCACATACAACTTTAATAATGATTTCCAGAATTCGCATGATTTGTAATTATCATGTAACTCAATATTATACATTTTATGTTTGTCAACCTCCAGTCTGGCAACAATGCTCGATTCTGCTGCAACACACTGACTTTTTTCTCTTTCATAGCCTAGTGGCATGAGCACTGCACTTTCTGTTAGTGAGTTATCTCAAAAACATAGATTTTTGAATTAACTGCAATAGTCAGGATACTCAGGCTTTCACCGAAGAGAAGTTTAAATGCAGGAAGTTTATTTAATAACATCTGGCAGACTGTGAACCTTGTGAGGACAAAAGAGGATCTTGAAATAGGAGGATATCAAAACTAGATTTTGGCAATATAGAAGATGTATTGTCCATGTAGTTCTGTCATAAGCTTTAAAAAATACTCTTATTAAATATGTTTTTCCTTCCTTAAGACCAGATAATACATGAAGCCAGTAAGAGTCCAGGGGTCAGAATCTTCTTCAATGCTTAGTTATTCTCTGTGAGCTTTTTTTTTTGGCTTTTCTTCGTAAGATTCTCCATACTCATTCACTCTGCTCTTATCCACAGGATAAAGCCTGTCAGAAAAAACAAATGAGAAGTTACAATACTGTCTGATGCCTGAAAGATTGCCTGAAAGAAAAAGGAAGAGTGTCACGAGGATGGAGCCAGGCTCTTCCCAGTGGCAAACAATGATAGGACAAGGGGCAGTGGGTACAAACTGGAACACAAGAGGTTCCACTTAAACTTGAGAAGAAACTTCTTCTCAGTGAGGGTGACAGAACACTGGAACAGGCTGCCCAGGGGGGTTGTGGAGTCTCCTTCTCTGGAGACATTCAAAACCCGCCTGGACACGTTCCTGTGTAACCTTACCTAGGTGTTCCTGCTCCGGCAGGGGGATTGGACTAGATGACCTTTTGAGGTCCCTTCCAATCGCTAACATACTGTGATACTGTGTGAATTAAGCAGTTCTGTGCCACTTAATTTTTAACTGAATTTCTTTCCCATCATAGTATCTATTCCCATTTGTCACGAAACCCCCAACACTATTAAAGATTAGCTACAGACACATCAGCTTCTTCACATTAAGATTTAACCAGTTGTCTCACACCAGGGCCTCTTAAAAGATGCCTGGCAAAATCTTGGAGCAGATTCTCCTGGAAGGCATGCTAAGGCACATGAAAAACAACAAGGTGCTTGGTGACAGCCAGCATGGCTTCACCAAGGGGAAATCCTGCCTGACCAATTTGGTGGCCCTCTATGATGGGGCTACAGAACTGATGGATCAGGGTAGAGACAGGACTTGTGTAAAGTGTTCGACACTGTCCCACATGACATCTTGTCTCTAAACTGGAGAGACATCAATTTGATGGATGGACCACTCGGTGGATAAAGAACTGGCTGGATGGCTGCACACAAAGAGTTGTGGTCAATGGCTCAATGTCCAACTGGAGACCAGTAACAAGTGGTGTCCCTCAGGGATCGGTGTTGGGACCGGTCTTGTTTAACATCTTCGTCGCTGACATGGACAGTGGGATTGCCTTCAGCAAGTTTGCTGATGACACCAAGCTGCGTAGTTCAGTTGATACACTGGAGGGAAGCAATGCCATCCAGGGGGACCTCGACATGCTTGTGAGGTGGGCTGATGCCAACCTCACGAGGTTTAACCATGCCAAGTGCAAGGTCCTACAGCTGGGTCGGAGCAATCCCAGGCACAGCTACAGGTTGAGCAAAGAAGAGATTCAGAGCAGCCCTGCAGAGAAGGACTTGGGGGTGCTGGTTGATAGGCTGAACACGGGCTAGCGTCAGTGTGTGCTCACAGCCCAGAAAGCCAGCTGTATCCTGGGCTGCATCAAGAGGAGCGTGACCAGCAGGCTGAAGGAGGTGATCCTGCCCCTCTACTCTGCTCTCGTGAGACCTCACCTGGAGTATTGTGTGCAGTTCTGGTGTCCTCAACATAAAAAGAACATGGAACTGTTGGAACAAGTTCAGAGGAGGTCCACGAGGATGATGAGGGACTGGAGCACCTCCCATATGAAGATAGGCTGAGAAAGTTGTGACTGTTCAGCCTGGAGAAGAGAAAGCTGCATGGAGACCTCATAGCAGCCTTCCTGTATCTGAAGGGGGCCTACAGGGATGCTGGGGAGAGACTCTTCATTAAGAACTGTAGTGACAAGACGGGTTAAAACTTACACAGGGGAAGTTTAGACTGGATATAAGGAGGAAATTCTTTCCTGTTAGGTTGGTGAGGCACTGGAATAGGTTGCCCAGGGAGGTTGTGAATGCTCCATCCCTGGCAGTGTTCAAGACCAGGCTGGACGAAGCCTTGGGTGAGATGGTTTAGTGTGAGGTATCCCTGCTCATGGCAGGGGGTTTGGAACTAGATGATCTTAAGGTCCTTTCCAACCCTAACTATTCTATGATTCTATGTATGAGCTCCTCTAAATCTTGGCTGGTGTAACTCTCAAGCATTCCAGGATATCTCTCAAACTCGAAATCAGCACCCAGCCACTGGCTGAGAAGTTGTTGAGCTGTTAACTTCTAGAAGAATACCTTGGAAGGGGGCCTGTTTTACTACACTTATGTGTTATCATAGAAACCCAAACCTGCAGTCCACATTTAGTACTAATGGTTAGTTAGAGGGACAAATCCATACAGTCTGGTATAATGGGAACCTGGCTTAAAATTCTTGTTTGCTTCACGTATAAGTATTTATTCTTGGGAACAAGAATACATTTTCTGTAGCTTCACTTAGGAACAGTATTTCAATGATGACTGCATATAGCTTTCTTCCCTGTTTGAATTTTGTTACTTAAAGAACCTGAAACTCACCAGATACTTGACTTACTAACCTGTGTTGGGAAACCAGATAAAGAGGAAAGCAGAGCAGGGCTTTTTCCTCATGAGAAAACATCCGTTGCTAGTACCTTGCGTAGCAACTTGAGAAGCATGCATCAGATCCTGAGCATATGTAGACACGTAGCCCCTCAGCAAGGGTTAGAAGCCCAGAACTCCGAAATGGGTTTGTGAACAGAAGTTTAAGAATTTCTCTCCTTCACCTTGCTTCAGTTCTAAGGTTAATTTTCTTGGTAACTTTCAAATACAAAATTATCTGCTGAAAGGGATGAGTGCTGTTTTGGGAAGGGAGAAGGGGTAACTGACAAAAACTCTGTGAGTGCTGAGAGGAGTTTCTTGTTTACTCTCAGCATGCTCAAGGGTCCACGATTACTGTCTGTTATGAGGAAGCACTTTTGCTCCCCATTTGTACTGAGATCTCATTTTCAGGATACCCTACTCATTATTCCTTTCACTAGGCACATACACAACTACCATTATCCAGACCATACTGTACATTTCTATGGTATAAAAATCCTCTGAACAGTCTGTCCCAAACTATTTTACAGTTCTTTATAGCAATAAGACTGCAACCATCTACAGCAGTGTAAAAAAAATTGACAAGTATTAAAGAAAGGCATACCATCTTTGGTAAAGATAGACCAGGAACACCACATCATCTCTAAAGCACGCCAGCCTGTGAGATGTTGGCATAGTGATGATAAAAGCAAATATATCATCAATAAAGGTGTTGAATGCCTACAAATAAACAAAAAGCATACGTCAGTTGGCTGTGAAGAAAGGAAGTAATCTATCATACAGAACTGCAGGAAACAGGCTTCCTAGAACTATATTTTTCAGTAGGAACACAGACTGCTTGCATATTTATAACACTACCCAAGGGTTATGCTGAAAAACTAATTAATGCAAACTTTAAAGTGCCTTTTTAAAAATGAAGAACATACTGTCTACTACAGATCACACTATCACAAGTAAAAATCATTCATTCCTTATTTGAAACATAATATTCTACACCACTCAATTAGACCTAGTATAGGTTCTATTTCTGGATCAATAACAAAGTGTTTTCTCAGTACTTTTTCCTGAGTGAGAAAGTTTACATTCCCAGACATCCGCTGGGAAAGCAATGCAGTCAGGCTGCACGCATCCAAAGGCAACAGTATTTTGTCAGAGAAGGTAAAGAAAGTAAACAGAAGGGCAGCTCCTCTTGATCTGGCTCTAGCCTAAAGGGAGGACTATAAATCAGTTCTTGCAGTACACCAGTTCTAGTACTCATATGGTGCAATAAACTGTTTCAGCTCACTAAAGACAGCAGAAAACAAATCGAGCAAAGAATATTCACTGTTGGGTGAACAAACTGAGTCAATATCATGGCTTCTCCTTTCAATATTAGCCAGTTGTACATTCCCCCATACCTTAAGGGGGATAATTATGTATCCTTTAAGCAAAGGACTCACTCTTCAAAATGAACCAACGTTTATATGATGAAACAAAACAGCGGTAGGAAAAGGGGGTGTTGGGCAGGATAGAGTTCTGATTAGTTACAACAGGAAAACTCTTTCCAGCAAGTCAAAACAAATCCATCAATCAAAGAACATGGACAGCACTTCTCAAGCCTGTTCAAAGGCTTGTCATGGAACAACAACAAGAAGAAGCCTTGGCAAGCTGGAAAAGGCAGCCTTTCCAAGTCACCACCCAAGTGTGTGATTCTACAGTGATGAAAGGAAGAAAAAGCTCCATCCTCCAGGCATGTAGGCAGTCCTCATAAACCACTGAAACTGAATGCATCAAGGTAGCCCATCTAATAGTATTTAACTAGCTAGTTTTCTGCTGAGATTACCTCATTTGAAGGTACTCTTTAGAAAACTATAAAGGGCATAAATGTAAAAACTACAGAAACTGTAAAGTTAATCTCTGTTTTTGCCAAGGTCTTCCAAAACAGGGAAGAGTTCAAATTCAGGAAAAGAAAGCTCCCTAAACCAACAATCACAAGACCTTAGCCTGTTCTTTTCACTCTTCAAGTGTAGAACAGAGGAAACTTTAGATATCCAGCCGGAAAAAGTAAATTACCCCTTCCAAAGCCCAGTAAGTTAAACATAATTGAAGCATCATACGCTTCTTTCTACATATGAGCCTTTGTGGCTTGTTGGTAGCCTCTGGCATCTTAACAGGAACTATAAATGCTGTGTAAGAAAAGGCTATTCAGCAAGAGAATTCTACTGTTTTAAATGTTACTTGCTTGGATACTTGCCCTCTGTTGTCTCTTTAACTGTTGATGTCTCTGCTCAGTCATTGTTTTTTGTGGTTGAAGTGAAATTACTTCACCAGTATACCTCCTACTCCCCTCCATTAAGAAACATGCTGATTTCCCTTACATGTCACTAACAACATACATAAGTTTTCTTTTTATTTTTTACTATATTTCCATATCAAGCACTGTTTAGTTGCTACTCTGCTATCATCTATATTTCAATCTGTTTTCTTAGATGCCTCTAATTCCTTAAAAATATTAAGGCAGCAGGAAGTTGGGCTATTGCTGTAGGCTCAAATGGAAAAGCTATGAAAGGCACTTCAAATTTTTAAGATTTTAGTTATTTTGTCCCAGATCACTGTTCAGAATTGGACATCGTGTCTTGAGCAGTTTTTAACAGTTTCTTTATAAGTACTGATGTTCTGGAGAGTTATAATACATCAGCACAAAGGAAAAATAAACGAAAGCATTTATGAGTGGAAGCAGAAGAATAAAAGGGCAGAGGTTGATGGCATCAAGGTCTTGATGATCCTAACACATTCAGCCAGGTTTTCTCAGGACCCAATGACTAAGGAAGCAAAGGACATTATAGAAAACCTAATGACTCAGAGAGGTGGAAAAAGATGGAGTCAAAACACTGTCGGCTCTTTAGGGGAACAAGAACAAAACTAGCATGTAGTTGCTGACTGAGGAAGAACACAGGAGATACAGGAACTCAGCAGTGGTTATCCCTTGTCCTCCATATCAGTGTAAAGAATCCTGACTGGGATACTTGGGTACATCCATCTTGGTGCTTGAATACTCTACAAACCACTTGGGCAGACAGTGGGTGCTCGTGGGTATGCAGGTATCAAAGAATTAGTAATATGATTTTGTTTTGAAATAAACTCGTCTTCCCGTCCTCCAAGGTCTGGTGTTCAGCTCTGCTACAGCACTGTGTTATTTCCTACAAGGGCAGTCTAGGCAGTGGGGACATGCAGCCACCTCTCTTCTGCCACCACACATTGGTCACTACACTGTCCAGCAGCTCCTTATTACCACCCCAGCACGGAACAGGATGTATGTTACTTCAGTCTCTGGCAGCTCCTGGAAGCTGCCAAAATAAGGTCTCCTGGTGGTCCTATCTGTTCCTTAAGAAGCAGCCTTAATAATACAATTATTATATTAATATAATAATAAAATTTCTCTCCCTGTGAAATAACGCAATAAATTGAGGCTGATTAATTTATAGGCAAAACCAAAACTTGCACCTTACAAGACAGTTGACAATATAAAAAACAGTATTACTATCAAAACTAGGATACAAGTATTCTTCATATGTGGAAGTCATTATGAAAAATGGAAATCAGTATTTCTTTTTTTTTTAAGAACAGTTTCAAACAAGTTTAGTTTTTAAAGAAAAAAAAGCACTGTCAGCCTTAAGCTAAATATTACTAAGCTGTTCCTTGCAGAACATTATTTCCAAAATGAATGCACCAATCTTCAAATTAGAGCTTTACTTACTTTGTATGTGAAAGCCTTCCATGGCAAGTGTGCAACGGATTTCATCTAGGAAAGAAAATATCAATTTGTGATAAAGTCTGGAAGAAGAGACAAGAAAAGTAGTCTTTATCCCTTTTCAACTTTACCTTGTAGTTTACAAACAGCTGGGGCAGCATAAATAGGAATCCAAAAGCATACACTCCTGAAGATAAAATACAGAAAACTTACAGACAAATGCACAATAGAAGTACATCACACAACTATACTTTCACAGTTAGAGATTTACACTCATTTTCCTGAAGAAAGAAGATATATCTAATCCTTTGTTCCCTTTGGATTGATTCTTCTCCCTTTCTCAATCACTGTGATAATTTTGGAACCTACAGTCAAGTTATTGCTCTATACTGCACTGATCCAGCTGATAGCTGTTAATTTTCTACTTCAGAGTCTTAGCTTCCACTTGAAGATATATGAATAGGAAAAAAACCAACCAACCCCCAATAAACCTAGAAAACAACATAAGAAGGGACTCACCATTGACAAAACTGTTAATCAACCAGGAGTACCAGCTACAAACAGAAGACAGTCTGGTTATTTTTTCACCTCATCCAAAAATACATACCTGTAATACATCCTCTACATGATGCATGCTGACTACTCAAGAATTGGCTATGTTGTAAATTACTTAATGCAAGAACTAAATAACTCACATCTACCTTTGATACGGAAAGGCTCCAGAGAAAATAGTTTAAGTGAAGGATGCTTATGAGTCCACACAAGAAGTCTGAAGAGATTTATCAACTGCTCAAAACTGAATGTTTTTCAGAACATTCTAAGACTTCTGCACCCAAACTGACCTCATGCACCCAAACTGCACACTGAACCATGACAGAGACTTTTAAAGATAGCACTGTATTCTAAATACTAAAGAGACACTTAATATGGCACTTTAATGACTTCTCAAATTTCAAATAATGAATACCCTTCACAGCAAACTACTATAGTAAACACTTAAAAAGTTATTACAAGGAATCTACATTTTTCCCTCCCTACATCAAATGTTGTTTAATGGATGTTCAGTGGCATGTAATCTTAGCAACATAACAAATAGCAGTCAAATTCCATACTTCTGCTTCTGATTGTAAGAACAGCTAAGAACTGTGATGCTCAGGTTACATTATTTAGTTAAACTTTCACTGCTGTGTTAGTGACGTGTTAATAGCAACATTAAAGCTGTAGGAGCACTTCGCTCATCCACAAGCATCTAAAAAATGCATGAGAAAATGCCTGCAAGATTAAAGGATAATCTACTGGAAGATTTTTATTCAGTCACATTTTCTTAGAGATTTAACAATGACAAAAATTCTACGATAGGCACTGTTTTAACTCTCTTAAGCTAGAGCTCAGAGAACCCCTGGCATACAGTATTCTGCAGTACTGAATAAACTCAAGAATTTTTGAGAAAAGCAGAATTTAAATGATGCATATTTTTTACCTCCTTTCTAAGACAAGAACCTTTTTAAAAACGCCCTGTTTTTCTAATAGGCCAGAATTGTCCCAGTTTCTAGTACAAGTGCTACAGCTCATGTGTACAGCAGCAGCAGTTGTTTCTGATGTTATTTTAAGCTACTCTTTGCTCTCCCTCCCTTCCCTTCTGGGCCTAAGACTATAAAAAGAACCCAAAAATATGCTTACTTGGCTGTCACCCTGCTTTTGTTTGCAGGTTTTTTTCTTCAACCAAGTCTCATGGCTGCATACTTGCTTGCATGTCCCCAATACAAAATGAACTAGAACACTCAAATTATTATTTAGAGTGAAAGTGGACAAGAGTTTTGCCTTTTCATGAAATACTGAGTCTTCAGCTCTTGTGAAGTATCAATATGCTGCAGTAAGTCCATGGCTCTAAAGGAATAGAGAATCCTCTCTTAGAAACGCTTTTGCTTGCTTGCCATCATAGCTACCATATTTAGGAACAGAGGAACCTCTTGGTTGGAGCAAATAATTCTGGGACAGTTTTTACTTCTCTCCGTTATTGGACAGGTTCAGCCACTGAACCTCTCTCATCTGCCTTGTCACCTTATCAGTTCTGTGAACATCAATGGCAGCTTACTTCCTTATCTTCTGATTAACAACCTATTCTGGTTCCTGGCTCATTAATCAAACTAACTGATTCATAACCTATCATCTCAAATTAATTAACATACAAAAGAATGGGACTGTTTCAAATGTATATAAGATCAATTATAAATTTACAGTACCTTTTGTATTTGACATTCATCAAGGAGTAACCTGCACCTCCAATACACAGTGGATAGAGCAAATATGACAAGTATTTCATAGCCTAATAGACAAGGAAAATAGTTTTTTCTTAGTTCACATTTTATGTACTGCAGACTCTTCATGGCATTATTAGGAAGACAGACACTTGTTTTTTTTCTCCTGAAAATGTCTTCCTGTTCCTAAATGTCTGCTGTTATTTCCAGTATGCTTCCAGTGGTGAAAATTCCATGCCCAATTCAGATGAGCAAACATCTTTGAGCAAACGCACCAAGAAGTAGCATGAATATAAGAGTCTAAGAGTAGCTCTCTACTTAACTTCAGTGTTTGCACTTCAGAATCAGGAAGCACATGAACAAATAAATAACATTTAAATAACGAGTACAGATACCAATTTTCAAAGTTTTGAATGGTAACCCTTTAAGACATTTCAGATAAGTCACTTACAATTCTGCTTCTCAGAGAAATGTTTCAATGAGATTCAGCAACAAAAAAAACCCTCTGTTTCTTTTCGCAAGTTATCTGAATGAATTTTCACTATCTGATCATCCACATGATGATAATCCACTTGACAACTATGACAACACGGAAAATACACTTGTAGCAATAAAAAGAGTGAAATGAATCATTCAGCAGCCTGCTCATACAGACTTTATAGATCAGAAATCACAGGATTCCTTCCTACCTGGGTATCATACTCCTCGGTTTTTTTTTCAGAGTCATTGTATGTGCCAAACTGCAATACATGAAAAAGTATAATCAAGTCAGAACTGGAAGGAAAGCACAGCTATGTGACTCCCTAAACAGAGTTTTAAACTGCAAACTAAGCTGCCTGGTCATTAAGGTAGACAACTGTTCAAAGTTTTTATAAGCATCTATACAAAAGTCATGCAAGTGTCATATGCAGCCTGCCAAACACAGGGTATGCAAAAGTTTAATTTTTTTCCCTTCACACAAAAAATCCAGGAATTCTTTGCTTAGGAAAATGTTGTGAGAGCAGGGTTCAGAAAGGAAAAGCAAAGTCAAGTCACTAAGGACATTGCAGATACAGGAAGCCAATATTAAAAACCATAATCATTTTCATGCATAAAGAGGTCAGTTATAGATTATCTCCACATCTCCAGAAATTGTAACTGCTTCAACAGTTCCTTGAATACTGACAAAGGAACAACCAGAGCCATCAGCCACTCGAGATGCATAGGCTGCAAGCCCACAAAAAACCTAGTACTTCCTGTGAAGTAAACACTGAAGGTTCAACAACTGTTTCTCCTGCAAACAAGAGAAACTTTCGATGCAGACTTGGCTTGAAAAAGATTACACTCGCATTAAAAAAGTTAATTTCAATCACTGCTGCCAATGCATCTCCTGCAAAGTCTCAGGATTTAATTCCTGCCCAGATTTATCAAAGGCAGTCCTGTCCCCAGAATATCTAAATGTTCCACAATGGAGAAGTTACATCTGCAGCTTCGGCGAAATTCAGTGTCTTATGTCAAATCCCAGTGTCAGCTAAGAATGCTTTTCCAACACAGTGACAGGATCACAGTCCCACCCACCTGTTAACATCTAGAGGGACTAGCAGAAGAGCTCTGAAGTTTCTCACACATTAAATACATAAATATAGCTTTTTCTTCTACATAGCTCACAGAAATTTTTAACTTTGAAAATGCTTATCTAGCTTTTGGATTAAGCTATCTATAAACACAAGATGTGTACAGGAAATTTTTATAGGGTTTTTATTCATCTTCATTTTACTAAAAGCCAAGTTGCACAGTACTCTGGAAAAATATGGACAACTCAAGAGTGTAATCATGAACAGGCCAATGTCTACTATACCTGAATTCTGGGCCTCAAGCCTTGCCACTTGACTGTCATTTTCAAAGCCTTCTTCACTTTCCAGAGCTGTGATTAGCAAAACCAAAATGTGCACAGAAAAGGTTATCCAAAGGAATACCTTATGCAGGATTTAAATAATCAGAATCAAGACCCCAGAACATCTACTTTAAACATCCACTGCATAAAGCAGCAACAGCCTGATTGTAGCACACTGCCTGTTTCTCTTCAAACCAAATGCTGTGTCACCAAATAAATACAACACTGTGAGCCTGCACTATTAAGACTCAGATGATACACTTCAAGTACAATAGTGTAGTCTTTCCAGGATACCTGCATTGCAGTGCTTAGGTGGGGATTGCTGCTCTCAGCACCAGCATGCATCCCAGGTCAGGCATTTAGAGAATTCTCCAGTAACCACCTGCCAAGAAGGCTTTCATATACCTCTGAGGTCAGCTGGGGTTTGTATAAAGGTGCCTCAGACCTCTCAACAGTGATTCAGTGGATACCTACACAGTCATTGCATTTCAGCAGTGGGCTGCAAGCAGAAGTCAGTGAATCCACTGATTTGTTTGGCTATGTACTGTACAGCTGTAACAGCTTCACCGTAACGTAGCCAAAGGCTCAGTTCTCCTGAAAATTTACTCATGTACCCACCCACACAGGTACTCGTGTACCCATCTATACAGATTCAACAACTTAGACAATGCAGTAGGCTCACCAGGAGAGCTACGGTCCATGAAGCTTTTCGTGGACAAGGTTTGTTTACCTTTAGATACACCACTATTCTCTTCCCACCCATCATATATTCCAAATAAAAAAGGGAATATGGTAAAGATGATCCTTTACTGTCATCTGTGATGCAAGTGAAAAAATTGCTTATTACAGAAGAAATGCCACTTAGTATTACATGAAAAACCGGAGTTAAGAACAAGTTGTGAAAAAGCTCTTCCCAACAAATTCCCTTGATATTTACAGTCCGTATGTTCATTCTCAACTTGAGACAACCATGTTATCTCACCATCACTCTAGAGGAGACAATGTTATTTCAACAGAACCAACAGAATATTTCCCTTTAGTTTAAGTGTCCTACACAGTGTTCCTATATAATCCTTTCAACCCAGTTCCCCCCAGCCTGCAGTCCAAAAGCAACAGTCATAGGAATCACAGATCTCAGAGAGATTTAGCAGATCTTTGGGCAATTTGAAGAACAATCTCAGACAGGCATAACCACAAAATGAGATCTGAATCTCATCAGACTTAAAAATCTCAACCTACTGAAAAAATATTACAATCAATGAAACGGTACTATTTAGGACACTGCTGTTCATAGTTTTCCCAAGAGCTTAATCTCTCTTATACAATAACCTGAAACTTAAGGATCACTTTGTGACTTTGCATTCAGTAATTTAATCACTAAGAATTCTGAGCAGTTTTGTTTCCACAGGGATTATCCGCAACTATAACAGATGCGTACTCAAAAATTCCGTGTGAGAGCCCTGAACTTACTTTTAAATCCTGAGAAGTACGTAGATCTGCAAGCAGTGCTAGGCAGAGAAATCTCCCCTTCCTGCTAAACCTCTCCCCTTCTTACTACTGCTGACTTGGTGCTTTACTACACATAAAGCTGGCTTCTAAGCAGTACCTGCAGCGCACTGACTGAACATGTTCTTCTGGAATAATGAACACAGCCAGCAGTCTCCTCATTTTCCTCCCTCCCCAAGCACCTCAGTCATAGCCATGGAGAATGCTGCAGATGTGTAGCGCTGCCTGATGGCACACAGCCTGCTCTTTGACAAATGTTTCCATGAAGGCTTCCTGACATGGTTATACATGCCTGGTCAAGATGCCTATCAGATAATGCAATAGGAAGGAACCTCAGCATAGCTTTATGTTTGGTTTCCACAGTACCAGCTGGATCATCCCAGAGAAAAATTATACTTCCAGTTTAGTCTCCTCTACCACTGAAAGCCAGTTAAATGATGCTGCAAAGACAGCATATTACAGCAGTATTTTTCCAGTAGTTAATTTATCATTCTCATGGAAGTTGCTGCAAATAATGGCATTTGGTTCTACAGCTTTAAGAACTCACCTCAATCACTGCACCAATGCCTGCTGGGATCAGCACCAATAAACTTGTTTGTTCATCCAAAAGGAAGAGAAATATTACCACGGTACTAAAGCACCGCCAAAGCACTACAGAGAAATAATGAGAATTAAAGGCTTATTAATATTTAAATGAACAGCTGAGATAACAGAATTTTGTTGGCCTATTTACTACAATTCCACCTTACACAGTTTAAGCATAAACTTACATATATATGTTGATATATCAAGTAGTCCTAGAAACAGCCAGTGATCTATACACCTCTAGCCAAATAAGGAACAAAGGTATTTTATGAAATCTTTATCACAAAAGATGAAAGGAAATGGGAATATTTAAGGAAAACTCCTGTACTGCAGCAATGCAGCAATATATCAGTACTATTATGAACTATACTCATGAATCTTGTCTTGAAGAAGCTGAAAGGCTGTGAGGTAATGGAACGTCAGCCTTTGAAACTCATGCAACTAACTTAATGATTGTAAATGTTAAGAAGTATGTTTTCAGGTTATTGTTCAGGTTTTGCAAAACCTTGCATACTTTTAAGTGTCTATCAACGAATTCTTAGATTCAAATATCCATCTCGAAGAGAAAGGACAGAAAGACATTAGAGCTACAAGACACTGAGACATCAACAATTACACTGTGCCAGAGCAATAGCCTGTGACCCTTCTCCATCAGGGCAAGAAGGAGATATAGGCAGAAAGGTGACACAGGCTTGGTAAACAGAGGAAGGAATCAACAATTACTGGAGACCAAAGATTCATCCTTTGATAGTACAGTTAAAAAAAACCCTTTGTCACTTAGTCTCCAATTTGACTTTCCTCACTTTTCACTTTGAATTTTTACTAACTTTTTGGCATACGTATGCCAACAGCAGTACAAATGCTTTGCAGAAACAAAGGCACTGTGATAAAGGTGATAAGCAGATTCTCCACATGAGAAAACCACACTGCTGTTCATGGTAATTTAGAATGCCAATTTTTTTCCTGGTATTGATATTCCTCACATGTTTCAATCAGTCTGTAAACCTGACAGAATTAGGGACAGACCCAGAGGTCAAAAGACTCCTGGTTTATAATCAGAATGGAAAAATCTTATTAGAAAAACAAGCAGTATCAGTGCAATAAACAAGGCTGAGAAATGGCATATTAAACCTCCTGTGTCCAGGGTTGGCTATTACCTTCACCTGTCTCTAAGAAGGCTTGGCAGGGTATCAGACCACTATGTTTCTCTCATTTTTCCTACATCCAAGTCAATTCAACCCTTCCATGCTCTTCTGCCCGAGAACCTTCTACTGCTCCGATTTCCATAAATGTCCAAATCAAACAACAGTGTTACACTACAGCATTTGCCCTCCCTCAAGTATTTTGGAAGCTGTAGTTATCTACAAACTTGCAGGACAGCATTACCCATGACAGTGCATTCCCTCCACCCACAGGACTTTCTCTGGTCCTCATTCTTTTCCCTAAGTATTTTTCTGTTCCTTCAGCAAGGGAAATACGGCAACTGACCTAATATTAAACCAATTCTCAATTGCAAGACAGTCAAACTTGGAAGTGACACAAGTGCCGGAGACTGATACTAGAGCACAATGCTAATAGCATAAGAACCAGCCTGTTTTCATACACAAAACCATATTTCATTTTACCATCTTGGTGAATCCACAAAGTGTCAACTTATTGCAAGACTGGAAACGCACACTACGTATCACACAGCACATGCACAAGATTTCACATTCTGGCCCATACCTGCTTTTGTTGACATCCCAATCATGCTCCTCTTTTTCTTCCAAAAACTGATATCATTTTTGAATGCAAGGAAATCAAAGAGAAGCTGCAAATAGCAAGAAACATACTAATTTGCTTGAAATATGCACTTACTAGAGACTGCCAGCTGAACTGTTAAACATGCATTTAAGATGGAATTAAAGAAAAAACATTCAAAAAAGGTTTAGAAGCTTCAGAAATAAAAATTCAGCATAACAAATAAAAGCTAAAAACTGTTTTTAGAAGCCCAAGCTCTAAAAACAGTGCAAAATGAGAGGATGAATTCCAAATACTGCTAGTACTAGCACTGCATTGTGCTCATCCAAATTTCTCCAGGGATTAGAAATCAGACTCAACCCCTGCTGTTGGTGTCCCACCTATGTCACTGCAGTGGTAAACCTTGGATAACTCAATGAAATTTGAACCTATGTTGATAGATATATTAATTCTAGGGGCTTTGGTTCAACTATAACTAAGAAAGAGTTAAATGTTTCATATTTCAGTCAGGATTGTTAGTTTCTATCTAGTTATCTCAAATTTCTGTCTTACTTAAGATTTTTATATTCATTCTGCATTGGAAATACAGATGGCATGCAGCCAAAACCACTTCCATTGTTCTACTGAAATTACTATTTCCTAGAACAGTTGTAATTTCTAATAACCAAAGTTTCTCCACTTACATGGAATGCTGCTACGAAGAATGTCAAAGCCAGAAAGTACAGGTTAGTATCAACAAAAATTCCTTTTACTTCATCTGCATCCTTTTCTGAAAACCCTAAGAGAAAAAATCCAAATAATTATACAAGAAGTACCAGATAAGTAACTGCTGTTATGCTGGAGTCACATATGAAATCCTATGTCACCTGCATATATTTTGTTAAAGAACCAGCTTTATTGATAAAACCCTAGCCTATCTATACTTGGTGAATTATTTGTCTTGCCCATCAGTTACAAGTAGATTGATGTGCCTTTAACATGTTGTAAGAATTTTAAGGATTTAAGAATCATTAAAATAGTACAGCACAGCAGCTTTTAAGATCTCTTGGCCTGCAAAGAAGTTCAATTGCTGTCTGAAGAGGTTAGAAAGAGAGGATTGGAAAGAATCCCATAGTCTTATACATCAACACCAGTTCAGATACAATGTAGTTCCTTACTCTGGCATAAAGAAGGCAAGTACAGTGTAGTAAGAGAAAGCTAAGTCAGCAAAGATAACCCTGAAAATAAGATGCAGATTTTTAAGGATGATGACTAGACTTACAAGGAACAGTGGAACAGACATTTAAAGACAGTAAAAGCTTGGCTATACCATCACCAACATAGAGCATATCAAGTTCAGCGCAAAAGTGTACACTTCCTCTACTCCATTTAAGCAAAACACAGAATTTAGTAGTTTAATGCACGTGAAGCCTCCAGTTTGTCTGAATTACCTTATAAATTTGTAACTGAGCCAAAGTGAAAGGCCAGCCACTTCTGAAGTGTCAGAAGCAGTGATGATGAGAACCAAGATTCCTTATGCATGCTAATCATGAGCCTAGAAACTTTGCTGTGGCTGCCTGTATTTCACTGTAGGTGTACGTCTACACTGACCAGCTGTTTATAGCTGATAGCAAAGCTTATTAACATCAATCCAGCTTTTCTGTTCCATAGATGACAGGGGAAACCCATGGTGAAAATTACCTCTCCTTTTTCCTGCATATCAACATTTTATCTGCATCTTTATGTTCAGGAAAAACAACCTGCAACCTGTAGCATTAAACCTTTTTCACCAGCTAACCAGATGGAAGTGTTACGTATGTACTTACAAGAAAACCAGTGAGGGGTTGGTTGGGTTGTTTGTTTTTTCTTACCTAATGTCATTAAAGATAGAAAACATACCAAATTGTTGGAGGGAGTACACAGCATCCTGCATGTGGATCCAAAATCGGAGTTTTCCAAGAGATATTTTATCATATGACACTGTAAGAGGTAGCTCTGTTGTTGAACGATTTATAACCTGGATTTCAAAAGATACAGTTTCATTTTTAATAGAATAAAAATGGCAACAATTATTTCAATTCATTGTTGCAAAGTGATTCTATCACAATTTTAAGATGTCAGTTTGGTTTCTGAAAGGGAGTAAGATCTTAGACTTCTATAAGATCCTTGAAGTCTTTAGGGTTTTTTTACAAATGTTAAATCAGCTGTTTATTCTGTTCAAGTTCTTATAGCAACCTCACTGTTACTGTATACAAATGCCTCTGAGATGTTTATGTAATGTTACCTCTCCTCAAGTGGGAAATGTGTGCTCAAAGTAATTCTCTCTTTTGACAGTTCTTCTCTGAATATATAAGCTAAGGTTACCTAAGAAAGAAGGTTAAAAAAAAAGGAAAATCACATCCCAAAGGCCACAGTCTGACCTTTACTAAATTGAGACTGGTTTTGAGAGAAATGGAAGTTAAATTCATATCAAAACAAAAGGTGGGGAAGCAAAGTGATGCTACTTGCTTGGATTGGTGAAAACACCACAGCTAAAGCTAAGCAAGCTGCCCTGCTTACAAACTTGGGGATACGGGGTGTCACAGAAATTTTCCTGCTCCAAGAGAAATAAAATTCATCAAGTTCTGCTGTATAATCTGTACTTTAGTGATGATAACTACCTGGGGTCCCCTGAAGCTGGAGGGGGAAATCTTAAATTGCCTCAGCTCCTTCTGCATGATAGTTGACTCTCTCTTAAAGAGGTTTAACACAAGCAAAGGAAAACTCTTCTCACAGATGTCAGAATTCTCTGCAACTACCTAGGTACAAGCTCAGGCAGTATGTTCTAAACTTGCAGGGACAGCTGAAGACTACAGGCAGGAAGGCACTCTGCAACACTTCAACATCTATTGCTGCCAGCTCCTGACTACTGCCCAATCATAATTCCCACCTCAAAACTGCTACTCTACACCAGCTCTGTTTCTACAGTAATTAGGTAGCTGACACCTATCTGAGATCACAGTATCACAGTATGTTAGAGATTGGAAGGGACCTCAAAAGATCATCTAGTCCAATCCCCCTGCCGGAGCAGGAACACCTAGATAAGGTTACACAGGAACGTGTCCAGGTGGGCTTTGAATGTCTCCAAAGAAGGAGATTCCACAACCTCCCTGATGAATGGCTTCTTCTGATTTTTATGTTACAGAACATTATTTTAGCCTCTCCATGTTATCAGTCAGGTGTGAAATGGGGATTATGTTCACTTTCCCATTCACTCTTTCCTCCAGTAAGTACGAACAATTCTCAACCTCACCACTCTCTTAAGACCCTGAGAGCTTTTCAGACAGTGGCAGAACATGTATGCATGCAAAGGAGAAAAACAGAAGCTGAGACAGTTTTATAAATGTAGCAGGAAGAAAGCCTGGTTGGTGCCAGGGATCACTGAACTGTCTGGGAAAAAAGGAAAACCAACCAAACAAACCAGGGTGAAAACAACAACATTAGAACTGAGGATAGAGAATGCTGGCAAGATTCTAAAGTTGTTTACCAAAAGCTACATAAACATCTTCCAGGTTTCTCCTTTTCAAAGGATGCCTGTAATCTGTCCATTCTCATTTCAGTTTCTCAGTCTATCAAAGATAGTATCAACACTTCTGAGAGAGAAGGAAAATACATTTTATCTGTGCAGAACAGCCAGGAAACAAAAACTTTGCAAATGCATGGGTAAATAGCAAGTGCTCTCTATACAGACAAAGCACTACTAAGGAGCTAGGGGAAGTGTAGGAAGAAAATGAGATTTCAACACAAGACAGGATAGGAATTCTTCAACACAAAAATCAAATTAAATCAAGAGAAAGATTAGAAGAATTAACTCTTTCTCAGTGAACAATTAAAGTCCACAAGTGCTGCTTCACAACTTAGTTGAGTGTACTGGTTGCTAAGCTTCTGAGAAGTCGTCAAACTTCTACAATACATCTACTCTTATAAGCATGTTCTCAGAACATTACACATTACTTCTAGCACAGTGTGTAAACAAAGCAAGTTCAGTGATATGAATTTTAAAGTTTACATCAGAAGCCTGTACAACCCCCAAAGCCCCAGCATTGTAAACAACATTTAAGAACATGAGGAACACGTAACCTCTATACTACAGTATTTATCGTAGAAGACCTACATCTTGGTTAAAATAATAGTCACTTCAAAATGTACGCAGCCTAACACAAGCAGGGAAAATGCATCTTCAGCTCCATGACTTTAGGTTGGGCATACCAAACAGAGTTCATGTTCTGATTTACAGTCAAACACCGACCTTGCTCCACAAAAGCTGTATCACCTTCCCTTATTCTTTCCTGCTCTTTACTTGCCCCTCATTATCTCACAGTATGCATAGTATTGGAGCCCTCTTTCTGTAGGCCTTGAGAGCAGTTTGGGATGTCACTACTGAGAAGTTACATAAGCCAGTGCTGAAGCATAAATCTGCTAGCACTGATGGAATAGTCTTTGTGGCACTTCTCAGGATCTGTAACAACTTTAAGGCAGTGACTTAGAACAGCATTAACCGTGGCATGCATGACAACTCCAGGGATGTTACTAATAACATGAGAATGCTGAGTTTATTTGTAAACAGGGTTTACCAGTTAAGAAGCTCTCATGAATGTACTGAACTGAATGAGCTGTGGTAAGAAGCTTAAAAAAAAGGACAATGACCACCAATAAAAACACCACAGAAGCATATCTAAAGGAATACTGGACAAAAGTATCTACTAACAAGATTTGTAACAAATGCTCAGGAATTTATTTTGCCAGACAAACTTGGAGTGGGGGGGATACAAGCTCTTAAAGAATATTCTCCCCAAAACTAAGTAAGAATTCTGTTTGTCTGAACTAAAGTTAATAAATTCAAAAGTCAATTTAGAAGGTCTACAGAAAGTTTACATCTACCAAGGCTTCCATCTAGAAGATAATGAATCCAGACATACTCATTTAACAACTTTGAGACATTCCCCAAGACTTCTGTTCTCAGAAACACTGCTATATTTCACTCAGTGCGACTGAGAACTGTAGGGCTTAAATAAGAACTGCTATGATGAATGTGGTTTAGATGCAGGGGACTGCCATGTGTAACTTGCAGTAAAGAAACTGCATGATTTCCCACAAGAGAAGAGTTGGAAAAAAAACTGAATACAGAAAACTATTTAAATGTATAAAATACCCTATCTTTTTTAACTGCAGGGGTGACTGAAAAATAAACAAGGTTGCACAGACAGGCTACGGCATCTCCATCCTTGGATATATATCCAAACCCAACTGAAGAGAGTCCTGAACAGTCCACTCTAGATGACCCTATTCTGAGCAGGAGCGCTGGACTAGCAGCCTCCAGAAATGTCATCCACATTACCCTTCTGTAACTCCATTATTGAAGTTTCTAAGTCCTGATTTGAGTGAGCGCACAAAATCACTGGATGTACAACACTGCACTGCACCACACCACCAAGCTTTTACGTGCTCAGGTTACTCTAATGTAATAGAGAGCATCACAGAAAATTTAACCACAAATGAACTTTTTGGAGATAAAAGAATAGCTACTGACTTATCTCAGTGTAGCACCAGTATAAGATATGTTCAGTATGCTCAGAAGATACCACAAGCCACTCTGGGATGCTAACACAACTGCTTCAGCTCAAGGAGTTAAACTGCTCATGAGACTGCTCCTACCACAGCTGGTGCTGCAGTGATGTCCTCCATATTCACCCAAAAGGCAGAAGCAATGGAACCCAAGTACCTTTTGGTGGAATAGAAGGGGGTGCTTGTCAGATACTTCTGCAAGAGGAGAGTCTCAAAACCCAGATCCAGCCTCTGCAGTTACCAGCTGACCACATTAACTTAAACAGTCATTTATAGAGTCCTTCTGTGAATTTATACTTTTTCATTATTGCAAACAACCTATGACAATATCTTAATTAAAACAACATTGAATATTACTGTTAAAACTGTTAAATGTAATTAAAGGTGTTCTATTACTCACCATCAAATCTTTCACTCTGTTGCTTAGCTGATCAATAAATAATATTGGAAGGTAATGCACTGTCTTCCCCAACTGAACCCTAGGATGTTTAAACATGGATTTTATGACTGTAGTGATCTAAAAAGAAAACTACTTTTATTCAAATTAGCACTCATTCATTACTTTCAGATCTACCCATGTAGATATTTCCCACCATCTTTTCAGGCACAGTTTCTTTTAACACACAGAAAGAAAGAAGCCACTAGCCTAGAGTCTTTCATAGAGAGATGTCTGTATTAAAAAAAATCAGGCAAGTCATATTTCTCCTTTTAGTTTCCTTTTATTCTTCTGTAGAAAGATGGAGTCAGCAAAAAAAAAAAAAACAAGACAAATGAAATTGGTTGTGATGATGCTGAAACTGCTGCATGACCAAGAGTAAAGGAAATTAAAAAGCTTTTTGAAGAGAAACATGCTGAAGTTTACTACCACATATCTGTATCCCTTGTCTCAAGTTTCCCTCTCCTACTGCAGCAATGTCGATTCTCCACCATCTCCCTGACTCCTGCACACCCCCAATAACATCTATTAGGTCAGCAACAGCATGTGCTCTTGGTAGCATGGGACTAGGAACATGATGGCTGGCACGTACACGGGAAGGCTGGATACTACTGGAGAGACTGCACAAGGAGCAGAAATCTTCTCTGCCTTCTCAACATAACTCTTCTTTGGATTGCTCTATCACCTCACCAACCTGCATAATAATAGAAACTTCACCGCCCTTTGTTCCTCTACAAAATTGACCCCTCGAAAGTTATTTAGCAAACGATGATCTATATGCAACTGCTTTGTCAGTATCTTAGAAAAGTATTTAGCCTAATGCCCCCAGAGAGACTAATTCTTATAGTTCTTCACTAGAAAGGTAGTTACCTACTCTGTGATGTTCTCAGTAAAAGTCTATGGAACTGGCATAAGGGAACTTTTTAAAGCCTGAAAGTTGAATTTTAGCTGTTGACAAAAGAAAGAAATCTCCATGCATGATAAAAGACTGGATACGAAATACACAATAAGCAACAATAATACAGGAAAGTACTACATCAAGACTCGGAAATACCGCTTGGTTACTTAACTGAAGAGGTTTAGATTTCTACGTAATTACTACAAATGAAGCTACTGCTTAGTGGAATTGCAGCAGACTATTTAACATCCAAACTGTTTCCAGTATATTGCAATGACGAAACAGCACCGATGCCAATATAAACATGACCCTTGTTCGTTAACCCCTGCTCAGCCTGGTTTTGTTATGGGCCTATCTTATGAGTTACTATGTTTATCTATTCTCGCTGGGAAGCTATCCCAGAACCCCAGGATATGCTGAGTAAGCAACTACTTCTGGATTTAACAGGATACTTGTAGAGAAAGGCATCAACATTCAGCAGCACAAGCCAACACAGCACTATTTATATGGTTAACACTGGAAGTAATTTAAGCAAGCTGTGAACAGAAGCTACTGCCTGCATTTAGTGACCTAAAAACCTATCCTGCTTTTTAGTATTTACTTGAGAAGATAGCATAATGTAGGAATGCACACTGTCAAAGTAGAATAAAGCCAATCATAAAGGAAGAAGAAAGATGTCACAGGAGATCGATCAGCTGTGCCTCTTCAGCACTTGCAGTTTGTGGACTTACTTTGCAGATGAAGTATAACTGGAAAGACCAAGGGACAGTAATTGCTTTAAAGGCCAGAAGTGTGATTTGAGAACAAGGGGGTATGAAGTCTGCTTTTTTACTTGTTTATATTTTACTTGTGTCTTTGTAGTTCTGTTTTGTCTTACTATGATAGCTCCATACAAAAAGTATTCTAATCTCTGGACTGCCCAGCAACAAGGTACCTTCAATACGGTTTTCTAGTCCATGATATATTACTAATTGTCACTACTGAAACTCAAGCACTAAGAGTACCTACCTGTCCTTCTCTCCTAAGTGCCAATTTAAACACAAAGCACTACAAGAGGCCAGAGAGGATTTCTTAAGAAATATGCAGTAAGTTCATAATAGCAAACATAGCAAAATGAACTCATACACTTACATCTTCATGTAACGGTGCACATCAGCAGGGAGGGATGATCCATCAAACACAAAATCTTCTGCCATGATGTTTAAGGTTAATCTTGACCTCCAGTGAGAGACAGGTTCATCTAGAGTGTTGGTCTGTTTTTCTGCTTCAATTTGCTTTAAAAATAGAATAAAACATACATACTGCTATGCAACACAAAAATTGGAATAGGATTATACTGCATCTCACAAAAATTATGGAGTCATTAATTACAAAATAAAACAGAAGCCCCACTTTGATACACTTCACCTTAATTTTGACCAGATCAAATATTTTGCTCAAATACACCAGAACGGGTTGTAAAGGCCCACCACAATCTGACACTAAAAATCTTTTAGTGCTCATTCACACCCTTGTTCATCAACAATGAATATTCAGCTAATTAATACCTTAGGAAAGTGGGTACTACACAGAAAAAGTCACTCTGGAAGAAGGACTGTAGTGTAATTAGATATTACTTCAAAACAGGCAAAAGGACTTGAATGATCACACTTACTAATTTTTGGGAGTAAAAATATAAGACCATTTGTCCTGAACTTCTGAGCCTCCGAAGGCAAGTGCTGAAACCAAGTAAGGCCTTAGCTTTCAAGAGATGCTTATCCCATTCTACTTGCTTTTCCTTGGATGAACACCAACTGTTCTAGTGTTGTTCTGTAGCCTCAGCTAATTTTCAACTTTATTCTGACAGGATTCAGAAACGCCACTCCTAGCTAGAGGTATATTTCTGATTCCAAAGAAGAACAGTGTGAAATTCTCAAGCTCCATTTAATATGAGACACAAAAGCCATTCACAAGTATTTAGATAAGACTATGTTTTCCCCCTCCAGCAAGTAATCACAGCATTTGTCAAAAGATACTATCTTATTCTCTTGAAGTGAAAAGTAAGAACATCTTAAAGAAAAAGAAGCACTTTGACATTGGTCACTCACCAATGGCAAAATCAAATTTGTATCTCTGTTTTATAAAAGCAAAGCGTATTATTTCACACGAATCCAGTTCACTATAAAAAGCAGCATCTCACTGTCACAGAACAATACAGTATTTCTACAGAAAACAATGAATCCCTAAAGAAGTAATTAATGTTAACTAGGAAAATATTGTGATAGCAAACAATGTTATAGAGGGCTTTACCTCTATTGTGCTGATTGGTCTACTATTTGCATGCAAGCCGATAATCAAGAAGAGAAGTTTGAGTTTATTTCCCATATCATTATTATTGTGAAGATGCAAGCACAGCAAATGCTAATGCTAGAAGTGTCTACACAAGAAATTCTTTTTTTGCAGTTATTCATCTATAGAGGAAAAAACCCACTTACCTGTGTGGCTGACTCTCCAGTGAGCAAATTAATCTCTTCTGGTTTAGGGACCATGTATGTGGTCAGAGGGCTTACTATATGCACCTGCTTACCATCATGCCAAGGCAAAACGCCAGCATGATGAAGAAATATATATGCATATAATGTGCCATTATTTCGGGTCTTCTTTGGTACAGAGACATTCACTGTCCTAAAATACAAAATATATGTTAGGAGATGACACAGCATATGCTGAAATATTTATCTATTAAATATAAGGATCACTGAAGATGTTCCAGAAGCAAGCAAAAAATGGCTGAGAACATAAAAGAAAAAGGAAGACATTTGGCTTGCCTGGCACACAATAGTTAGGGCTAATATTCCCTAATGAGCCATGGCTGGATGGTATCAATTTATATACTCCTGTATGTATCAATATTTGCATTTCCAAAGTTTTACTAATAAGATAGTTTAGCCTTTGTCCAATTCATACTTTTATTACCCTAACAACGCAGGCCTCTATTATCAGTTCTTTTGTTGCTTTCCCCTGCCAATATGTCACAGGGCCAAAATTACCAGGGCGCTTGTACAAAACAGCCTTCTGTGTGTTGAATATGTGGTATAGATCCTATACATGATACAAAGTTTTAAAAAGAAAATCACAATGTTTAGTAAGCACTTTGCATTAATATGTTCACAGCTATGGCATGCCAGGCACAGAACTCCAAGTTGGAGACCCAGACCATGAAGTCACTCCCTTTGTGTTAGCCAAGATATCACCCTACTTGCAACATTGCACACTGCCTCCCCTGTTCCTGTGAGTTTGCTGGGCTTGTTTTGCTCTGATTACTTTCAGTGGCTTCACAGACTATGTCAGTAAAACAATTTTAATATTTTCAAGTCTGACATTTTATATGACCTAAACTGCAGATCACGTTCTTCAATTACAGAAAATGCAGAATGTGAAAAAATCTAGGATACTCTGACCAAAGAATCAAGAATAAGGTGACTATTTTAAACAAAACAAAAATGCAAACCAAAAGTGAGGCAGCAAATATGAAGCACAAAACAACTAGTTCTAATCATTTTAACTGTATCGAGGCATATGTAGATTGCAGTATTAGACATTTGTATAAAGGCACAATCTGATTCCATCTCAGCACCAACATCCCTTCAGAAGATCTGGAAACCCAAAACTACCAGAAAAATAATGTTTACTTTTAAGGTTATTAGAACTGAAACAGTTACAGAGAAGTATAGTGCTAAAACACAGAAAAAGAGAACACAGTTTGACTCTGAAGTTCTATTTCAGGTTTGAAGCCACAGTTATCAAGAACAGCGTGTAGGTAGCAGATTGGCTACATGTCAGAAGAAAGTCTAAAGCGCTTCCAGGTTCCAGGCACTTTGACTTAAGATTTTCACAACAAAGTTGGTCTTAGTATTATAAGCAAAGCACATTTTTGTAAAGCATTTGTCTCTCTGAAACAGCAAACTACTCCAAACTAACCAATGCTCAAGTTCAGCACATCATATGTACATTACTGACCTAGCACAGTTAGCAAGATGAATGTTTAGAGTGGAATCTGAAAATTAAGACAGACGACATAGGACAGCATTTGAGATTTGGAAGTCTACAGGACAGAAAGAAGCGTTTCTGTATTTACCAGTATAACTTCGGTTTGCAAGCTTTGTTGCCTGCACCTACGAGATGATTTCAGTGTGAGAAAAAATTGTTTAAGGGTCTAACCCTCAGTGCCAGGTGAACTTAGCATACTGTTTCCATCCCTTTACCAACACTTAATGCATTAAATAACCTATAAGATTAAAGGAAAAAACAGTGTTTTTATTAACAGCACCACTTGGTCCTCAACCCTAAGGCTGAAATCCTACTAACACCTTTCCTGCCTTAACATAGCAAATATAGTTATTACTTTATGAAACAAGTGGGAACTGAATAGCCTGTACAGCATGCAAAAAGTAGTAGTTTTTACTCTTTCTCCCCTCCCCCCCCCCCAAATGCAAGAACAACTCCATTCATTTAATTCTATCTTGCTTTATGCACACTTAGTATGTATTCTATTTCAGAATTAAACAAAGATCTCGTAGGCTGGATACCTACCTTTCAAATTTGGACTCAATATCAAAATCCTCCACGTTCAAAACCAGATCTATATTACTCTCAGCACCAATATTTGACCGTGTGGTAGTGTACAGGCTTAGCTGAAATCAAAACACAGCACACAGAAATCAGGGCATGGAAATACTGAATTCATGTAACTGGTACACTTCAGAGTGTGGATCTGTACTTTACCCATTTCCCCGGTCACATGATGGTTATATACACTGGGAAACTAAAAATGCACTCAAAAAAACCTGCAGCACAGCTTCCTTCCTTTTGGCAGCAGAAACAAACTGTAACACAGCCACTGAATGTATTCTAACAGGATGACCTAGAATCACAGAATGGTTTGGGTTAGAAGGGACCTTAAAGTCCATCCAGTTCCAACCGCCTGCCGTGGGCAGGGACACACCTTCCACTAAACCAGGTTTTAGTTGAAGTCAAAGATCTCTACAGAAGCCGAGCCATTTCTCCCGCAAGGCTGCCCTGGTCAGTGCATGTGTCAACAGATACACGAAATAAACAAACAGAAACACACTTCCATCCCGCCCCTGCTTTAGCCACGGGCCTTATCCACAGGGCAGGGCAGTAGCACCGCGCTCCCTTTCACCCCTCGACCACCGCGACACTCGGGGCGCGCCGCGCTCAGGCACTTCACGCGTGACCGCAGACGTCAGCCGAGTCACGCCGCGCTTCCCGCACCACGAGCGGGCACGGAGGAGACAGTCCCGGACAGGCACCGCCGCTGCTACCCTCCCACAGCAGCACCGCGGTCAGGGCCCGAGGCTGAGGGAGACGAAAGCTGCTCCCGGTCCCGCCACTCAACCCCCATCCGCCGGGTGCCCGCTGCGCTGCGCTCACCTGCAACTTAGGCCTCCGCGCCAGGTAGGGCCACACGCAGCCTGCCGCGCCTCCCCCCGCCGCCGCCGCCGGGCAGGGCCGCGTGTAGACGATGCCGTACATGACCCAGCACGTGTGCACCACGTACACGGCGAACACCCCCACCACCAGGCTGGTGAACGAGCTGCGGCTCAGCATGGCGGCCGCCGTGCCCCCCCCCAAGGCTCGGGATCAGCCGGGCCGCCCCGGGCCGCCCCGCCACCGCCGCTCGCGCATCCCACACGCACAAAACCGCCACGCCCCGACCGGTCGCTCGCTCGTCACTTCCGCCGGGCGCGGGAGGAAGCGCCGAGCCGCCGCGTAGCAACCGGCTGCGGGAGCGCCTCTCGGCCCGGGGGCAGTGTCTCTGCAAGTCTGCACTCGGCGCCGCTAGGGGGCGCGCGGGGCAGGGACTGTCGGCAGCGCTCGGCTGCCTGTGTGACAGCAAGGTACCTTCGGTGCAGAGCACAGTGACGCGGTGAGTGACAGCAGGGGAGCACAGAGCGGGGCTTCAGGTCAGCCAGCTCCAACCCCCTGCCACGGGCAGGGGTACCTCCCACTGAGACCAGGGTGCGCCAAGCCCCATCCAACCTGGCCTTGAACACTGCCAGGGATGGGACAGCCACAGCTTCTCTGGGCAACCTGTGCCAGAGCCTTACGACGATAACAGTGAAGAACTTTCTCCTACTATCTAATCTAAATCCACTCTTTTTCAGTTTAAAGCCATTCGCCCTTGTCTTGTCACTACATACCCTTGTAAAAAGTCCCTCACTGGATATCCTGTAGGCTGCTTTAGGTAGTGGAAAGCTGCTCTAAGGTCACCCCAGACCGTTCACTGCTCCAGCTTGAACTACCTCTGAGCCTGTCTTCGTAAAGAGAGGTGCTGCAGCCCTCTGACCTTCACAGCCTCCTCTGGACTCACTCCAACAGGTCCACATCACTCTTGTGTTGGCATCAAGAGCTGAACACAGTACTGTGGGTGGGCTCTCATGAGTAGAGGGAGAGAATCACCTTCCTTGACCTTTTTTGATGCAGGCCAGGACACGGTTGGCTTTCTGGGCCAACCAAAAATAAAAATAAAAATATAGAAGAATAATTAGGGAAGTGAAACAAGCAACATGAGTAAATAGTTAAGAACAGTGGCAGTACCGAGGAGAAGGGAAGGGAGTGGTGTCCATCCATCAGCAACTGAGGGAAGCAGTCTGCTGGCAGCACTCCTGCCAAGCAGTCAGTCACGCTCTGCTCTCTCAGGCCTGAGCTACCAAGCGTTGTCCCTTTATGGAGCTAGGAATGCTCCTCCGGGCCCTGCCCTCTCTATCATGTTGAATACCCTGAACCCAGGACACCAGAGAAAGGTGGGGAAGGAGAAGAGGGCATGACGGGAGCAGGCTGTGCTGCTACCTTAGCAGAGAGCACATCACCTGAAAAGACACTGAAAAGAGAGAGCAGGGCTGGATGCAGATTCACTCCCCCATGGCTCCCTGTGGCACCAAGCTGCACAGTGGCAGGAGAAGCAGGGGGCTCTGCAGACCAAAGCCAGGGTCACAGCGTGTCACCTCTGGCAGGCCTCACACTGCAGGAAAAAGCAGGGTTAAAAACAGATGGTATCAGGTAAGGGACTCTTTACCCTTGGAAAAAAAGAAATCTTGCATACATTGTGTTCATTCATACATCTGTAATTTCATTAATAACGTCAATCACTTCTGGTTTGTAATGAATAAGCGGTTTGGAAAGTGTACCTCATTCTGATCGCATCCTCTCACATTAATTTTCTAGTGTAATCTGCTTGCATAAGTATAGAGCAAATAAGTTACTTGCATTTTAGAGCAGAAGAAAAAGGAAAAATATATTTAAGCAAAAAAAAGTTCAGGCTTTAAAGCTTTTCTTCATAAGAAAGCATGTCACATTGCTGCATGATTAGTCAGACTTCGCTGAAAGAAATAACTAGATTAAATAGTGTTTTGGAAAAATTCAGTATTATCTCCTTTCTTACATAGAATGCAGTTCACCCATTTGCTATCAGTTACAGATCTGTTCTTTCACACAAAGCACTGCATGACTAACCTGGCTTGGGCCAAAGAACATACTCAAAATCTGCAACCACCCTGTCCTGGTTTCAGCTGGGATGGAGTTCATTTTCTTCCTAGTAGCTGGTGCAGTGCTGTGCTTTGGCTTTAGTCTGAGAACAGTGCTGATAACACGAGGATGTTTTAGCTGTTGCTAAGTAGCGCTTACCCTGATGAAGGACTTTTCAGTCTCATGCTCTGCCAGTGAGGAGGGGCACAGGAAGCTGGGAGGAAGCACAGACAGGACACCTGACCCAAACTAGCCAAAGGGGTATTCCATACCACATCACTGTATGCCCAGTATATAAACTGGGCATGATCATCCGGAACGGCAAATCACTGCTTGGTTTGGGCTGGGTATCAGTGATGGGTGGTGAGCAATTGTATTGTGTATCAGTTGTGTTTATTGGGTGTTACTCCTCTCTTTTTGTTGTTTCCCTTTTCGTTATAATTGTTACCAGTGTTCAAGGCCTGACTGGACAGAGCCTTGGGTGGCACGGTTTAGTGTGAGGCATCCCTGCCCATGGCAGGGGGGTTGAAACTAGATGATCTTAAGGTCCTTTCCAACACTAACTATTCTATGATTCTATTTAATTTCAGTTTTTTAAGCCATTCTCATCTCAGCCCATGTTGTACCTTTATCCAGTTTGCCTCTCAATCCCACTGGAAGATGTAAGCAAGCAGATGCTTTGTGCTTAGTCGGTGGCTGGGGTTAAACCATGACGATAACTTGAAATTAGAGACTAACACTAAGAAAAACATTAAGTAGCCTTTCCCTGAAATCTTAATACTTTGATGAACATATGTAATTTCTGCGGTAAGCTTCGCCAGTGTTTCACTTGTATTCTTAAAAATATTCATATTCATGGATCAGCGTATTTTCAACCGGACATCATTACGACTTTTTCTACTACCCATTGTGAAATTCTCACATATTTAGGTATCTGGACTGTTGAATGACTTTGTCTGTTTCATGGATAAATAAAAGCAGCCAGAGCTGCTTTTCAGGCTAATTTAGTTCTCCAGACTTCTGGAGCTCCTTTTCTGAAGCTGTTTTGATCTTTTGATACTCCTCTTCAGCACAGAAAAATAGAACTGGAATCAATATCCCCATCATCCTAAGGGGATGACCAAAGCCAAAATTCAGGGGAAACAAAACCAAACCCAAATAACAGAGCCAAAAACCTGGAATACCCCATCAAAAAGCCCTTAAAACCCTGTATTCCATACTCCCAGTTGTCAGGTAAACAAGCACTGTTCTCGTACACACACTGCCACAAAGAACATACACCAACAAAGCACACCTAAACATACAAAACATATACAGACACTCAGGCTTATTCACAACTATGATTTGTATCCTTTCCCTTATCGTAAGCCTTGTTAGTTATAAAAACTTTAAATCTAAGAAAAAAAATCCAGAGGAAACCAGATATTTTTTTTTTCATTTTTAATTCAGCTTCACGCTTAAAATTCAATTTACAAGCCATTCATAAGGAAAATGTCCAGCTAGGCAGAATGAGCCATGATTGTATAACTGCACATCAACACTTGTAGTGTATCATTTAGTTCCCTTTTAGTAAATAATCATACGACTTGTATAGCATAGTTTAAGTGTCTACACCATTTGGCTCAGTTCATCACATGCTATAGTCCATTTCAACCTATCAGACAACTAACAAGAAAAAAGATGCCCAAATTGAGGTATTTCCTTTAAGAATTTACTGATCACTGGTATTCAGAGGTAATGTTAAATCATATCTTTTTAAACACTGAAAAATGTACAAAACCAAGTTCATTTTTAAAAAATATTATCCTTAGTCTTCCATGCATGTTAATAAAAAATATAAAAATCAAATTTGTAGCACTGAAGCTATACTTTTCATTCTGCAAAAGTATATCCACAATTGGAACCACAAGCTACAAGTCATGTTTAGTACATTACTTGAAGTATAGTCAGTTCAGTGCAAAGGTAATAGTCTATGTACACATACCATAGGAGCCATAGAGGGGGAATTTACAGCAGAAAATATGCATTCAGATTATTATTATTATCCGGTAGCACTATATGTTGTTACAGATTTACACTGCGTATCCAAGGGCTATGATGGCAAAAAAGCTTGCAGCCAGTAAGTATTTTTAAACACACCACGTCTGCCTAGGCAGCCTCGAAGTCAACAGAATTTGTACCACTGATGGAACAAGCATGTAATACCTTGCAAGGACGTTCTATGAATCAGAATCCTGCTCTGTCAGCAAAGCTTTGCCACCAAAAGCATCCTCTTCATGGCAGTGCCTAACTGGGATTCAGTTGCGGTAAGAGAAAATTCCAAAATGTGATAATTTAAAATGTTTACTTTTCTTGCTTTTGCATTTAAATTCTCAAGTATGTTCAGAAACATAGCAATATTTTTCCAAAATATATAAATGATGTCCTCAATGCAAGTTTAACAATTAAAACCATTTTTCTCTCTGAATTCTCTCCCAGCTTGTTGATAACTCGATTTTATTCTTCAGAAAAGATGAACTAGTACCTGTGATCAAGTTAGAAATGTCTCACACCTGGAGAGCTGCTGAGAATTATAAAAAAGGTTTAGAAAGTGGTCCCATTGAACAGATGCCAAATACTTTCAGCACAATGCTGCAACATTGAAGCTGTAGAGTACACAATACAAGGTTGGCAAATGCTAAGTCTTGGTCCTCCTCCAGGAAACAAAAATCTATCACTTCTAAAGAAATTTACTTCTGACTTCTATTTGTAACATTACTGATTTACATGGAGTTCCTAACACCCTTAGAGGGACTGGAGAAAGCAATATAAACAAAACACCAAACACAACTATATAGACAAGCAGCTGCAATGTAGTTTTTTGTCTATGTATATACAATTGCTAAGGAGAGCTGTTTAACTTAAGGAATTCTACTCTGTGTATTTAAAAATATAATTTCATTTTTAGATGTTTAGTTAAAAATCACTTCGGTAGTCTGGAAAGTACAGCATTGGCTAACCTAAAGCTCCCTTCTGAAATGTAAGAAATATTTTGCTTGAATTTCATTATAAAAGAAAACATAGGACAAAAATATATACTTAGGGCATACAAGATCTTTAGAAGTTTATTTCTTTAACATT